GCAGTGACCAAACCACAACATGACGGCCACCACACCGACTCTGTCAGCGATGAGGTGTCTGATTCATCGGAATCGCATACCGAAGTGACAAAGCCGAGACCATAGCATACTTTGGATTCGCCAAATGGTGTTCAACAATGAATTGTTTCGGTGTGGTGTTAATTCATCCCAACATTTACTTTCAAGCTTTTTTTCTTCGATATTGACTAATCCTAACTCATCTGGTTGCTGAATTTGACTAAAGTATTGCATTATTTTTTCAGCTTAACATCTGCATGATTGTTATTTCTACTACTTTATGCCTTAATCCTATATAACATTCGTCATTATCATGCATCTCGTTTCATCCGAGTGTTTGAAATATTCTTTCAAGTGATAATAATGCTGATTATAATGATCCACATTCGGCTGTTTTCACTCAGGCCACAAACGAAGGCTGAGACCTGAATATTTTTATGCAAGCTTATTTACCGACGGCATTCTAATGATTGTTGGATAGAACAGTTTATGGTGTGTGTGTCATGCGCAACACCATCTGCTTTTTTAGTATTTCATACAGACCCAGATGCTGGTAATTCATCTTTTTTTATTTATGATGCCTTGTTTTATTCACTAGACTGAAGTTTTCATGTGGTTGCAGAAATTGGCATATTGTAGACCACAATGGGTTCGGGTGGCCTCTAGGAAAGTAAAAGGAATGATTTTTCAAGGTAAACACAACTCAGTCAGGGGATGAGTTTAAGGGGTCTAAGTAATCTCGAAAACGCCATTGAAGTCTGACGTCGTCATAAGCAAAATTATAAATCTTCACAGCATTTTATTGCTTTGAACAGGGAAAAATTCAGGACAGAGAAACAGGATATAGTTAAAACTTGGGGTGAGAAATAATGCAGAAAAAAATTAAGGGAGGGGGTAAGAGAATAACTAAAATTAAGGCGAGGATTATCAACCCCAACAAAAGAAAATAATGGCATAAAAATCAAGAATATCTTATATATTGTTTATACACGTGTGTTCGAAGAGATCGAAAAATACTTTACCTATTGACACGCAATGTATTTGTTCGGGGGCAACATATGTAGCTTATCATATTTGACGACATACCACAGAAAAATTACGCCAATTCGTTGCTTTATGGCTAGAAAAATGCACTAAATATGTTTGGCCGATTTCCTTTTAGGCAGAGTCCACAAAAATCAGACTATTAAGAGTTACGTGTTTGGCATATTCTCAAAGAACAACAGCGTAGGCTTCAGAAATAAAGCAATGAATTGCGTGAATGCAAAAATGTGCGATATTGTGACAAGACTTCATTGGAAGGAGGTAGACTTGGTCAGTTTATATAAATTTGAAAAACAAGTTTTAAACATTCCAACTGTGTGAATTCGAGATTTATAAGCAAAGGCTTCGAGTATCCTCGCATCATACCTTAACTGGGTTTAGGAACGGGTGGAGCATCAGAGCGCCATCTCCCATCTTAAGCTCGTCTTAACATAGTTGTAAAATCAACTTAAACTGCGTCGAGAGCCACGAGTGAAAAAAACGAGGATCAATGGGAGTAGGAGATTGTGGGAAGTGACGATTTCGTTAGTGCCTGTCTTAATGTCATAAGTTGCAGAGGTATGGTTTTTCATTCCTTCAGACCAGAAACAATACATATCTATCAACAACCAAGTTGTTTTATAAAAACGCCAATTGCATATTCTAGTTACGTCCCAGGGTGCAGGCATGGATTCGAAGCTGATAAAGTGGCCCAGTTTACAACGCACATTAACACCTAAAATTCATTACTGGAGTTGGATTAATGTAAAATGTCAAACATATTACGAACTATCACGATTATCAATAAAATTAAGGCATTTAAAAGGGATCCCAAAGAAAACTGTCTTTCGAAAGATAATATGAACCTGGCACTTGCTATTCTCCGTCCATCACGCAAATGCGCGCAGTAGGCAAACAGACACAGTGGATGCGAGTGGCGCGAAAGTCAATAATCCATGCTGGATAGTTGACCACAACCCCACTTTGGTCCTCGGTTGGTAGCCTCACCCGAAACTCCCGGTTTGCTGAGCATTAGCAGAAAATGCCACACAGGTTGTGTACTATGGCTAGTTAGGATTTGACCGTCTAATCTAGTCTTGTGCCAAACGAATTCGTTGCAACAACGAGTAGGCAGCTTATTATATTCAGCAGGATAACAGTCGCTGGTGCCATTAACCTCTTTCATCCTGCTGTTATTCATCTATTTTGCTTCAAAGAATGGTCTAACTACGTGTCCGTGGATCGTTATGATCATGGTGTAATGTAACTGGGTTTCCACTGATAAAGCTGCCGAGACCATTTCTCCGAATCAGACTGACAGTTAAAACGAAAACGACGATCGTGCGACTACGTGCAGATTTAGTTGTAAGCATTGCCTTACAGTATTTATCTGTGATTGTGATTTGTATGGCAGTTATATTTTGTGTCCATTGGCATATCTTGTGAAACCAGATTTGACTCTATCATTGATTTCATAAGTATGAATGCGGTTTGGCTTTCGCTGCGTGATCGGTCCTGAATGTGGACATTGGTTAGTCGTTTCCTGTGGTTCTACCACGTTCGCTGCAGTCTCCTTTACGAGACCTATGATGTATTCTCACCTCAAACGCTTACAGAATTATTGTGACTACATTTCATCACGGGCGATTATTGTTTCTGCAGGCTCTAATTCTGTGAAAAACTCTCAATCGATTTTCCAGTAGTCTCACCCAGTCTGTTGGCATTTAGGAATCAGAGTTCACGCCGGAATGATACATGCGTTTTCCTCAGCACGTTCGTATCTCTGCAAACTCACGCATGCAAATACGCATTTGTATTCTTACACGCTGGCGGACCTAATTGTCATAAGTTAACAGCAACTGTTACTTCCGTAACTATATATATATATGCTGTCAACACTTTTTTGTTTAATATTTCATTGTAATTGGTTATTTTGTAAGATGATAATACCACTACTAAATACTTTTTCCTATTTTATCACAAAAAGAACGGTTTCTTGCAGTTAGAGGCTTAATTGCTGCAAGCTAGTACTTTTGAAACTAATTAAAGACATTACTACAGAGACCAAGTATGTATAGAACTGCTCTATATAGTGGTGCTAATTGTAGTAATAGGGGTTTCTGCGAGAGATCAGATCGATGCATTTATATTTTTATTGCCTTCACTATTTCCTAATTTTCAGGGGTTTACTAAGTCAGTTAGCATAGTTTAAGGAATGACGATAGCACAATCTGATCCTAGTAGTTTTGCAACCTTTTCTGATAAATCCTGGTTTAAAGTGCTTGTCTCTTTTACACTCGGCAATAAAGTTGATAAAATATACTACATTTAAAGTAGACCTTTAATTCACATTCGCATAGCGTTTTCTTATTATTCAATACTAATAGGCCTTTTTTCAAAGAAAAAAATTATTCTTAGAATTTTTTTTAAATTTCAAATTTAATTTCTTAAATAGAAATCATGCCACTTATTCGTGTTTGAATTCCTCATTTCACACACATTGAGGTTGAAAAGTTGGTTGGGAGCCGTCACCGTACTGTAGATTCTACTGAATGGGTGTTGTATCCTGGCATCTCTTTCGGTGAAATGGGCGGTAAAATCACAAAGGTTGTACCTGGTTTATACATTGGTGCCAACGAAAATGTAAGAGATGATGAAGATCTTATAGCGAACTGTATTTCCCACATACTTTCTGTTCAGAGTTCAGATACAAATATTAAAAAAGTAAGTATTTTTATGAGCATTTTGCTTTTCACATGTATATTTTTCACAGTAACTTTATTTAAACACGGTTTTGTAAGTCGTGCATTTCTACTGATCTAGTTTTACTAGCCCTTCCTCCGTCTTTACTTCATAATCTGTTAGGTTTTATTGCCGCTTGGAGGTTGCTATTTGTGGGCTTGTATTAGAAATGATTGCACTATCAATGCTCAGTAATCCTATTCGGTGGAATTATAGGATTACTAACGTCAGTGCAAAGCATTGATTATACTGTCTCATTGTTTAATGAATGTGTGTAAACAAGTATATACTTTTTTCTTGATCTACCAATAAGGGAATTTACTTTTTCTGAAAATAGTCAGAAATGGAACATAAGCAATAACCACTCTACATCAAATTTTAGTTATCTAACCATGTCTACCACAAAGTTTTTGTTGGAGAGCCAGACACCAAGGGTCTGCTCCGAGTCATCCCTGAAGCCAACGATTTTATTCATGGTGCACGGGTGGCCTCTGGCAATGTCCTTGTGCATAGGTGCGTCTAACACTTCGCGGTTTTATTACCCACATTACCCTCTGCGATTGGCGCCCATCTAGTTTTTTTAATATCCCCCTTTGATTTACTACTGCAGTACAGCAAACTGTTGCAATGTAGTGGTAGCTACACTAATTTTCTTTTTAATTAAAATCAGCATAGTTGTTTGATAAATATGGTAAAACTTCACTGTCGCTACAACGACACGGGCACTAATCTAGTTCTCTAGTGCTTTGTACATTAAGAATCGGCTTTAAATTCTAGTGCCCCTATGATGCTTTCCCGTAGTATATTACATGACCTTAAGTCTAAACTTGCTTCTACAAACACTATTGTCCATAGGAAGCGCGCTTTACTAAATGTGCACCTCTCCTTCATTTCCAAGCGAATCGGGCATGTCCTCAAATGTCGCCGTGGTCGCGGCTTACCTCATGACGGTCTATCAGCTGGATAGAAAAACTGCAATTGCAACGCTGCAAGGGTTGGTACCGGCTGTGCAGCCCATACCTAGTCTCCAAAACCAACTCGATCGCTTCTACGACAATGGCAGTGTTGAGGTTGATGGGAAATCGGTCATTACTGCAGCAACCGAGAGGGAACGACTGGAAAAAAAATTCGGCCGTTGGCCCGGAATGGAGGTACTGTTGATTTCAGTAGATTCACCCTTCTACGTAACGATCTATTTAACTTTTCAGGTTGGCCTCATGAACAATGTTATTTGCCCTATAAAATTGTGCCCTGTGCTTCTTTTAGACCGACAAACGATTTCTGCAAGCCGCTTTGACTTCGCATGATAACCTTAAGGCGTCAGGAGCGTTTCTACTTTCCTCTGGTGAAAGCAGATCCCGCCAGCAGTCAGTGTCCCCTCCTCCCGCAACTCCTGATGTCCCCAAATGCGACACAAACGTGTCCGTCAAATTATCTGCTCCTAAGAGTAAGCCCTGTCTCTTTATTTCATCGAAAGTATTTGACGATATATGAACCGTTGAGTGTAGTTATTCTCGAAGAAAGTGCCAACAGGTAAGACTAAACAGTGTTGAGTTTGGTGGCAGTACATTTTCATCGTGATGACGCTCTGGAGAAGTTTCTTCGGCGGTTATTCTTCCTATTGTCGTATCATTTGATCTGGCCCCACTAGATCATCCTCTAAAAGCCAAAACCAGAGAAAAGACGACGGTAGTCAAAGTTTGTCACATTTGCACACACATCAAGCATAACTATTGCCTTGACCAAACTCGAAGCGGGATTTTCGTGGCCGCTCATTTTGAAACTCATAGTGTTTTTCTATCCAGTCCATCAATGTTATTCCCGGTCCCAGTGATGAATCGTTCCTCTCCTGAGCGGGGAATCACGTGCTTTCTTTAACCTTGCAATGACAGAGTGTAGCGAAACACCGAAGGTAGTGTTCTGTGATGGGAGTAGTAGTGCTTCAGTAGCTTTGCGTTACTTTTGGCTGTGTAACATCACCACCCTGTTCCATACTTAAAATGGCTCACGAAAAGTCACAGGCCTCGAGGGGCTATGTCTTTCGCTTATATTTGCTTCTGCCACTGATATTAACCAGTGTTATGACTAAAGCTATTTAGTTTTATGTATCTGTTATGTCATGTCATGTCAAATGCGAGTATCTTTTCGGACTGGTAGCATTCGACTTCTAGTCTAGGACAGCCTTTTTCCCGAGGTCTTCTAGCTTTGTGCGGTATGTTTTTATTGAACGTCAATAATCTCGGAAACGGGAGGGGGGTTCTTGTATGCTATTTTACATAGCATTTCTCTTTGATATCGTGGCTGACTCAATGTTTAGGATAGTTCTTTTTTTTAAACAAACCACGTATCTGGAACGATTTTTGTGACGTTATTGCTAACTTAAAAAGTCTTAACAGCGTGATTTGTTTCGATCTACTTCGTGCAATGTCACGTGGAAAGTAGCCTGATTGCTATCGAGCGTTAATCTTCTTTTTACTAGCAAACGAGAATGCTGACTTGGACTTTTGCTTTGACGACGTTCACGAAAACGAGAACGATGACCACGGTGGTGACGTCGACGAGCGCGTGGACGTCGATCCCCCGTCTTCTCCCTCCCTCGAAAAAAGTCACGATGACCTCAGCGATGAGGACGCCATCGTTGGCTCCATTCCCGTGCCACGGGGCATGCCAGGCGGCAACATCGCCTTCTCCAGTCGTCCGCAGCCCCTCTACCATCGGCCAACTGCTGCGCCGACTGTCCACATCCGAGGGGGGGACGGTGGTGGCAGTCGAGATATTTTTGAGCTGGTCGAGGACGCCGCGGCATCACTTAGCGGTGCTGGGCTAGTGTACTCCTCCACCGCCCCCGCCAATGGCGACATCGCTTTTAGGAGGCCTCAAATTTAGAACGTCCAGTTTTGCATCATCCCTCTTGCATACGCTTCTCATGTGCGCTTCTTGGCTCAAACAATAAATGTTGATTCTCCACTTTGTCCCTGAGCTCTTCGTAGGCTATTTTTTTATTGTGCATTACATAGTCTGTTACTTTGCTTCAGTAGTTCCTAATCTGCAACCTCACCCTCACCTCAAGCCCCCCTAGTCCGAATCCCCTAAGCTTCAGGTTTGATGATTGCTATGAAACTGGGAAGCTTCAGGTTTAGTGGACCTCGTAGAAGCAAATTTATTAATAAAAAGCCTCGTTTAAGCTCTGTTTGCTATTACTAGGCAAAAGAATGAACCAATAAATGCATAATCGATGCTTGGGAAGCTACTTGCAAGTAATCGTAAAAACCCTTGGCTTTCTGCGCATGTTGGATTTGGGTTTCAGCGGCATTCCTAGTCTAACGTGCTTGACGGGATCGCATAGGAAATGGTCTTGTTCCACTGCTGGATGTTCAGATGATTTGGGCTATTACCTAATTCACGTTGGCCGAAGAGGGGAGGACTGGGGAGTGCGTGTTTGGTGCATTCTCGGTGGACTGCGATGGGGACTTCGGATATACAAGCTTGGGGAGTAGTGAGCTGGACAATGGACGAAAGCGGGTGGTGTCAATTTGCATGGATCCGAAAAGCATGTTTTGAATGCCCTAATTATGTATACAGGTTGTCTAATAAGATCTCTAGAATGGGTTACCACGAGATTCCAAGTAAAGGGGTGTTAGTTGACGCACGAGGTGCGGATTCTGAGTTTATGGACGGCCAGAGCATCCATGGGCTATTACTTATCTTAACCTTTTTGTACCAAAGTTGGAACATCTACTTGAATTGCGTCAAAGGTCTCTAGTGGAGGAAGGAGAGTCGAACATGGAGGAAAGTGGTGGTCTCGTTAATGCACGTAATAACCTCATGCAGACTTCACCTCTCTTGACCGAAGTCGCACAAGATTCGCTGACAAGCTGGCTGTTTCGTTTCACGCATAAGCGATGTACGTTTCATGGTGTAGATTTCGGTCGTTGACTGCCAAAAATGGCCCAGTGTAAGAAGTGTAAAATATGTCAAGATCCTTCACTGGTATTTGCGTTAATTAAACCATATTTCGAAATACTACAATCGTCAGTCCAATGGAAGTGCTTAAATGGATCCCGAAATTGGTAGTGTTTCACAAGACCCACTTCGACGGGGCTGATAGCATTTGGCACTCGCTATTGTTCGAATTGGGCGAACAGCCACAGTGGATGGTTGTGGCATGAAAAGGCCGTAAATCAAGTTTTGGATGCTAATATAAAGGAACGCCCTAGGATGGCTCACCGCGAGGAACCGGGGGAACGGAGGTGGAGGCTCAGCAGGGGATCCGTTTGTTTGAATAAACGTTGTGGTGCTCGTAAAATGGCTTGATTCTGCGAAATACCAGTTGTGTGAAGGCTGATTCTACCTCTATTCCTTTTCGATTTCGGTGATTATATTGTAACTTCGATGTACTTGTCTTTTCCTTCCAATCTGACTTTTATTTCCTTTGTAGCATTATGCTTGCAATTAGTGACTTACTAAATTGCTGTTAATGAGCAGCATAGCATTGGAATAGACGTGATTACTCGGTTTGTTCATAATTTCGTGGCTCAAAGCTGCCGTTTTGTTGGCCTGTGAGGGCAGTTTTAGGTCAGAAGGCCTTCATGTGGAAGTAAGAAGCATCCGCACATTACGGCGAAGGGAGTTCTGGCCGAGGCACTGCTTACTACAGCCACATTCGCTCATGAAACCTGTCAGCTTTCCCGAGTTTTCGTGAAAGCACATAATGCAGTCTTGACTCGCCTTTACGAGCATCATATTTGCTTACCAAAGTCAAAACAAACAGTACTCCCAAATGGCTACATACTTTACTTAACGGATTAATTTTTTTAGGAATGGTCGTGGCATTCATTTAAATTTGTTGCAGCTAATAATGTTAAGGCCTTTCTACTTTGCGATTGTTTTAAAGCCGTCTTGATTTACTCAAGGTGGTTAAGAGACTGATTCCTCTTCAATAGAGTAAGGATTTCCACAAAAAATCGCAAGGTCAATAACTTTAGCTGCGATAACCCCTGTCGACAATAGTGAAAATTGTTCGGTATCACCACAACATTGCCCAAATCGGGGTGTACGGTGACCTACTGGTGCTTTTCCTTAAGGCACACGTTTCTGTAGGAAGCTAAGACGTGACCGTTTTAGCCCAAAAAGTTGTCGCGTTTTAAACTTTCATGAAATCACTTGATTCGTGTACTTTTGCCTATGTGGTACCAAACGAATAATGGTGATTTTGTTGTAGTTATCCGCTTTGCGCTTGTAAGCAAACATCAAAGGCCGTGACAAAGACTAAAACCGCAATTGTATTCGCCTTAGAACATTTGACAGTGTTCAGTGTGTTGTCAAAAAGGCTGTTTAAAAGTGTGTGTGTGTGCGTGTGTACGCTAAAACTTGACAAGAGTGACGTTCTTTACACGCGAGTCGGCCCCTGTGCTGTTAACCAGGGCGGTTGGGTGGAGGGACTGGGACGATAGTGGTGGCTGAGGGCTTCTTTGACAGGTAAACCTAAAAGGTAAAAAATATGCCAAATTGTACACATAAAACTGGATGTCTGAATTCCCACAAAGGAAAGCAGGAACAATTTTTCAGATCTTCCCTTAACACTTCAATGGTAAAGCATTTTGAGATGATATTACTAAGCTATCTTCTGGGGAGTCTACACGAAAAATCCCACGTTGTCTTGGTTGACTGTGGCCCATCCAAAATGGCTGGTGCCGCTTATTTTGTCAAATGACTACTAGCTAATCCAGCCAATTGAACTCCTCCATCTTAATTTTGACCATAAAACTTTCGCGCGGTTTCTGTCGTCGTTTGATGCTGGAGAGTTTAAACGCACACAAATTCCCAACCGAAAACACAATTAGGTGTCTTGAACGAAAGGTCCTCCCATCAAACACCGTTCCGCATTATATGGTGTTATTTGGAACCATTAAGCATGCCTTTTCCAAGCTCCGTTATTACCTTTAGGCAATGCGGTACCAAAAGCCCACCAGCTGGGAGGCTTAAATTCTCACTGGTGTTGACGACGAGGCGTCTCCTGTTTGGGTTCCAGGTAGTCCTCGACGAAAACGAGCGTTGATGTTTTAACGGCGGTGACTGGTGAGTCGAAGCTTCCAAGTTCCCTACAACGGCGTTGTTCATCTTCATTCTAGGGGCATGAAGGAAGCAATCTAGAGACGGTCCTTGGGAAACTCACAAATGTGTCTCGGAAGCCAGCACCGCTCAAACTCGTGTTCATGTGAGTTCCCTTGCCCATTTGTACAAAGAGAGACATAGTTACCGTCAATTTAAACTCGTTTGGTGAAATTGTTGACCACCCAGCTGTTGTTGAAATTGCTGGGTAGGGATAGACACTGAAGGTATGTCAGTGCGTGTTAGCTACTGGTTATAATTATGCTGATTATCGTACCGCGTTAGGCCAGTTCAACCTCGAGACTGAGCTTCGGCATCTACCATTAAGCGCTTTTGGTTAAATTTTCACATTTGATGAAGTTCCCAGACCATTTGGCACATATCGGACACCCTCCGCTGTAATCTGACAGCAAGGCACACGCGTTACCATATTTAGAGACTCAGTTGGGAAAATATCAATGCAATGTTACTCTAAATCACGTCATTACGGTCCTCTGAAAACGAACAAGGCACGGTTCCGTGCAAGCCCACCCGCCGGCAGTTTAGTTCTGAGGAATGCTTTATACTTATTTGCATGTGGTGAACTAGACCCTAACATGGATGGTCTGTTGCAAGACCCACACTTCAACGAAGCAGCTTTGAAGCACGTGGCACTTGTTATTCTCCGTCCATCACGCAAAAACGCGAAATAAGCGAACAGACATAGAGGATCCGAGCGACATGAAAATCAGTAATCCCTGCTGGATAGTTGACCACAACCCCACTTTGGTCCTCGGTTGATAGCCTCACCCGAAACTCCCGGTTTGTTGAGCATTAGCAGAAAATGCCACACAGGTTGTGTACTATGGCTAGTCAAGATTCTACCGTCTTATCTAGTCTTGTGCCAAACGAATTCGTTGCAACAACGAGTAGGCAGTTTCGTATATTCAGAAGAAAATGTCTCTCGCGCCTATTAACCTCTTCCACCATGCTGTTATTCGCCAAATTTGCTTCAAAAATGGTCTGACTACGTGTCCGTGGATCGTGGCGATAACAGTATAATGTAACTGAGTTCCCACTGCCAAAGCTGCCGAAACCATTTCTCCGAGTCAGACTGATAGTTAAAACGAAAGCGACGATCGTGCGACTACGTGCAGATCTAGTTGTAAGCATTGCCTTCTATTGTAAAACTACCTTTCAGTGTTTATCTGTGATTATGATTTGTATGACAGCCATATTTTATGTACATTGGCAAATATTGTGGAACCTGATATCACTCTATTATTAGTTTCGTAGGTTTTTAACTTTCGCTGCGGGATCGGTCGTGAATGTGGACATTGGTTAGTCGTTTCCTGTGGTTCTACCACGTTCGCTGCAGTCCCCTTTACGAGACCTATGATGTATTCTCGCCTTAAACGCTTGCAGAATTAGTGTAACTGCACTTCTTCTTTCCAATGAAAGAGTGTATACACTGTCTTCGTTGATAAAATGAAATCACTGACAATTATTGCTTGTGCAGGCTCAAATTCTGCGAAAACCTCTCAACCGCCTTTCCAGTAGTCTCGCCAAGTCTGTTGGCGTTTAGCAATCAGGGCTCGTGCCGGAAGGATACTTATACTGTTTTCACGTCATTGCTATCTCTGCATATTCACGCACAAACACACATCTATACTTACAAGTTGAGATGAGTTAAAAGTGTCGTTGTGGCCGAATTCGTCATGCTTACCGGTCACCTCACATAGAAGCAGAGCTCCATAAAACGCATGGGTAGTCAGATGCCTGTGATACGCGGGAAAGTACTTCAGGTATGCAGACCAGTTGTATATAGGACCTGTGTTTGTCTCTAGAAGCATGTGTCGGGAGGCCAGATTCTAGCTGTAAACATTTTGAAGCCTGTGCGAGGAGACACCAGCGTTGTTTCAGTCGTGATTATTGGAGGACCCAAATCAGTCAAGATAACTTCACTCGCACCATGCCAATGCATACTAACTGGGATGCATTGTTCACTTACAGTAAAACCCTAGACTAACTCAGTGACCTGAAAATTAGTGACGACACGGCCTTTCATCGATTACAATACTTTTTTGGTTATAAGTAGCTGTGTGTTTTGCACTTGGAAATCAAAATAGACGAAATGATAAACGGTGACTGCCTTCATTGTGCCTCAACGTGATCGAAGCAGCGAGAGTTCAGCTGGCATTGTCTGTAGCCTGAACAACTGATTGTTCACATCAACTAATAGAGGCATCGGTTATTGTAAATTAGTGTTGCACTAGGTGATCATATAATTTTCTTAAAGTCCACAGTAGTTGAAGGGTTCTTAACACTCACTTTTTGCCGTTATTGTTAATTGTTCAATTTAGCACTTCTAGTCAAAATAATGGAGACAGTTATATCTTAACTGGTTATCAAAATAATCAAAATGGATTGCCTTATGGAACAGAATGTTAATGACAGCCTATGATTCCGATTTCCAGTGTTGAACGAAATTTGTATGAATTTGATTGCCACTGCACCAAATGCTTCACCTCAATATGTTCAGAGATGCATTCAAGCGGCTCTGTTGGCTGCTGCTGACGTGTTACTGTGGCCATCATGACGCCGTATCGGTCATCTGAGGGTGGGCTGGTGTATCGCACACCGTCGTTATCCCTTCCAAAATAGTTGAGGTACGACGAGGTCGCCGTGATCGCCAGTGTTTCAGAGGACAATTTTGATCGATTGATAGTGCTGGTGTTGGTTGTGCTGATACTCTCTGTGTTTAGTAGACTGGTAGCAAAGGCATCAGACGTTGAGGCCGTTAAACCAGAGTCGCTCCACAAACGACTTCGGCCCTAGAAACAAAAATTTGATTAGAAAATGCGATAGTTATACGTTTTGCCAGGAACAAAAACATGCTTAGAAAACTACTTTGCACTTTTCTTGTCAAACGCAAGCCCATCTTCCCAGTGACAGAACAGCGACACATCTTAATGCAGTTTTTAATTTTTATAGCCTAATGGCAAGTATATTATCAACTGTCCAAGGTTTACACGCTGCGAGCGCTTTGGCCCGACGGATCAGCAATTGTGTTACCAAAAAGATGGCATGGTAGGGGAATTGTGTCTAAAGGGAAAATGTGTGAAATGAAGAGTTAAAAATGTCAAATCCATGACTGGCTTTCCTGATACAAATTGAAGAGCTTTCTGTGGTAAAATAGAGACAAAAGCCTAATACTTTAACTTTATAGGCTAAAATTAGATTTTTTTGGCAAAAACCAATAACTCAACGAGGTGAATCCATTAAATTATTTATACAGAATCAGTAGAGAAGCAGATTAAATGGGGATTGTGATGACAAGTTCCTTGCTCCCTCTGGAATCGTCTAATTCTCTAACAGGCCTCTCAACCTTATGTTGTGATTGAAAATTTTTGTCTTCTCTAATTTTTCCCTGTACGTCGCATTAATTTTGAATTTTGTTTTGTGTTGGACGTCCTTCTGCCTATTTCAAAATACTCTTAATCTGTCAAGTGGCTCTGTTTGGCCTGGATGTGAGCGGCCCTTTGAGAGCAACACAGGCTATGGCAACAAATTCCGGTTGTTATTACGCACACGCAACTTAACTCTATCCCCTGAAAATGATTTTGTCGGGTACCAGACTTCTATTTGTCATGCTAATTTTTAGATACTTCAGGTGTTGTATTACTTCGTGAATACCTCTGAACACAAGATTCACATTTGTAGATTGAAATTGCTCAAAGGTGCACCTTAGTATTCAGTTTTGGTGGCAGTGCTTTGCGGCGACCTCAAGGTACCGCGGTTGATTTTTTGTTTCTAGTTGAAAATCACAAGTTGTCTTACCGGCTCAAAGCTGAGAAATCGTTCAGCATCGAGTTGCATGAAACTGACTCTTTGAAAGAGTTCACCAAATTCAGGCCGTCTCTCGGGGTCTTCTTGCCAACCTTAAAAAAAAGACAGTAAGCAGCAACCTTGTGGAGTCGGTTGAAGAACAAATATCCCAGTTTTGACCAATTTAAGAACATAGGCCTAGAATACGGCATTTTAGTGTAAACGTTTAAATTGGTTTTTGAAAGTTAGCCGAAATTCTGAGACTAGTCCTGAATCAGAAGCCGTCATTAATTATAGTCAGACCAACACAGTCAGAGGATGGCCTCTTTTGTAGACTTGAGGTAAAAATAATTGCGAGGCTTCTTTAACATGGTTTCTATGGCGTTGAGTTCACAAGCCCTTAATTGTCATCATCTGCTGGATTGAATTCCACGTTTTCGATGGATCCCCATTGAGTTTCAGCGTTGTTCAGACCCCTCCAACTCCCCCTCCCCCAAGCTGAACTGACCCCGCTCTCAACGCGTAGGTGTTACGTGTCAGTTGCAGGCGCGTCAAATAACCCTGATTAGGCGACAAAACATCCGCCGAGCGTTAGTGAGAAAAAATGTTTTTGTAGGGAATGATCTGAGTAAACAAAACATGCGCTGACTTACATTCCACCATAAGGGCGTAGAGGTCGAGGCTGACTGTTGACGGCTGGTTAAGACGAAGTCCACTCTCCAAGTGATGAATAAGATGTCGAGCGGGGATCCTCTCGAAGGGTTTTCGTCCAAATGTGAACACTTCCCACAGAGTTACGCCTTAACCAATCGAGCAGCGTCGATATAAATAAATAAATGTGTGTGTAGTTACTTGGTGTTGCAATATATGCCTGAACGGTAAGAATATTCACAACAGAAATGGCAAAATGTGAATGCGGCACAAAAAGGCAATTAATTAAAGCTCTGGCTGCTTAAACAACGACAGAGTCGTGCTCTGGTGGCGAATCACAATTATCATCTCGGTGGTGGCATTAGTAAAGTTGGTGAAGATAAGACGCAGACATCAAGGGAGCTTAAAAAGGCACCAGCCGCGCAAACCTACCGTACGCCCAGACGTCGGATTTGCTAGAGAAGACGCGTTTTTTAATGCATTCAATGGCAAGCCACTTGATGGGCATCAGGCCACCCTTGGCCTTGTACTCTCCGTCGGCGTCTTCGATGCATTTGGCCAGGCCAAAATCAGTTATTTTTATCTGCAAACGGAAATAAGGCACGACGTGAGTAATTAGGCGCTAATTTAAGCATTGTGTTCTCATACTTAGGCAAAGAGAACATTTTAGGTTGAAACAACAAGGCACAGGTGCTCAGACAAATGACGACCCTATTCGGATGGAGGTTTGTTTTTGTGAGTTTGCTTGGTGAAAAATTGGAGCATTTGAACGATATTTTGCATCAAAGCGAACCCAGAACTGAGTTTGTAAAACATGGTCCAACTTGGTAAGTGAACACTAATATTGCTAGTTAAGTCTCATATTTTGCACACGCTTTCACTAGCATTGCTGCTAATCTCAGTCGAGGTTAAAGAGTGCCCCTTCACTACCGAATCAGAGCTCAATTCTCCACTTAACATAAAATAGGGGATGTTAAAGTTGTCTTTTTTCACTTAAGGCGGGAACTATTTCCCATGCACTTTACAACAAACAGATTTATGCACGGTTGGGTTCAAAGCACCCAAAGATCTTGCGATCGGATAAAATAGTGTTTACTTAAAATCATTTAGTAGAACGGACGGTACCTGTTCTGGCGTTTCTACCAGGACATTACGAGCGGCTAAATCACGATGGATGATCCCACGAGAAGCGAGATAAGCCATTCCACTGGCTATCTGAGCAGCCCAATTCAGCATCATGTGGGGCGTAATCGCGTCCCTGTCGATTTTCGCTGGTCCGCCGAACCGATGGAGGTAAGAGAGTAAGCACCCCAGTGGCAGGAACGATGTCACGAGTTGAGGGCGCGCTGTCATGCAGAGAGCCAATAGGCGGAGACAGCAGGGATGATTCACCGTGGCCATCACCTGAACCACACAAAGACAAATAAAGTCCCCCGGCAATTACGCTTTTGAGGTGAAATTAAGAGCTGCACAACTTTCTCGGAGGATACCAACTATGACCGTGATGGAATGTATTAAACTCACACTGAAGAAAAAATTATAAAGCCATTTACGACAACTGTTTGGCTTTTAAGTCGAAGTGCTGGTGTCGTTTAAATCTCCCAAATTGGCCGTTTGTTTATGTGGCCTAAAGCGCACATTTGCTTGAGTGCCCAATCGCCCCACGTGATTGCGCGTCTTTTAAGGTTATTTTCTGGAGAGCAATTAGAAATAACTGCAGCTGGCTTAAAAATTCCTTTTAGAACACACGTTATTCGCCGCAACTGCAGAAAGGAAATTTCACTCGCTGAGAATCAAGAGTGGTAGCCATTGCTATGCTGACTGCGCGTTATCTACACACAACCCATTCACTGCGCTTCCAGGAACGAACTTCTTATCAAGTGCTATTTCAATACACGTGGTACAGCATTGTACTAATTAAACCAGCACGTTTAACAATCGATACGGAGGTACGAAAAGGTAAAAGTGACGCTAATTTTCACTTAATTAAACTTGTATTCGTCTTTCAATACCTCAAAATAATCCATCCATCTTCCCTGAGTATCTGGATTTCAAACCACACCATGAAGTGATAGTTTCGTTTTGTTTTAACTATAGAATCATTGCTAAAAGATAGCGAAAACCTTGACTTTGACTGATTACGACAGGTTTCATCAAATTCAAGTAGATTGACGAGAATTTTCGGAACAAATGAGGGGCTTTGCAACTTGAAAAGCACGCATTGTCTGTGGTATAGGCAGGTAGCTATATTCTGTTGGTCGGAATCGCATTCAGATGGCTTATTACTAACACATTCTACCGATATTTCTCCCAGCTCATTACCTTTAAAGAATACAAAAAAGGCTAAAAATATTGGCCATCGGTGTGATGTGGAATAATCACCAAGCTTTCTTGGACTGAACATTAGAAATCTTGCTTTGTGAAAAATGTGCGTTTTCTTAGGTAGTAAACTACCAGGGGGTATCTGGCCGTAATTGTCTTTTCAAGTTATTTGGGAATACTGGGTTTGGGCTAACCAATGGTTAGAGGGGAAGAGGTGACACAGAATTCTTGCTGGTGCGAAACAACAAGCACCGCTGGGAACACTTGCAAAATTACTCACTCGAGCTTCTTCGAGCAGGGCTTTACAGGTGCTGGGATCGGCTTCGTCGTTGAGCACCTTAATGGCAACCACTCGTTTCTCAACTCCTTCGATTTGACTCTCCTCACCCTCTTTTTCGCTGTCACCTTCGGTTTTACCTGTTTCGGCAACCAACTCCGTGAATTGAAACTCCTGACGCGGTGAATCCTGCCTCGGGGCTGAGTGCTGCTCGGGAGAATTCATTTCATCCACGGAAGTATCCTCCTCCACTGTGAGGTACTCCCTCTCGGTGCACGCGTAGGTCGTGTCCTCTACGAGCGAGTCCGAAGTGACAAATTGCGGCTTGGCGCAGTCCACCGTGGCGAGCAGCTCGGTGACTTTTTTCGCGAAGCCGGGAGACAGCGGTCCCTTGAACCAGACGCCACGAAAAACCGAACCGAAGGCTCCGCCACCAACACGACTTCCGAGTTGGAGTTGGCATTCGGGAATTATAAGAAGCGTCGCCATATCGGGCATTGTATCCTAGGTTAAAAAAAACACTCGAATGATTCCGGCGAATTTTCACTTCCATTGCTGGTCAAGAATGCCTAAACGTGAACAGAAGAACACTTACACAGATGCTTGTTTGCGTCTAAACTACAAAGGGGCTAAATCACGTAGAATACTGAAGTCTGCGATTTTTGTATTTTTTTTATATCAAAATCCAGCCATTTTGTTCTTTTCGCCAATCCAAGAGTTTTTTTACACAGTAGCAATACTTCTTCACTTTGAATAAACTCACTCTCGACGTAGACGTAGAAATAACCTCTGTCTTTAAGAGCAAATATTTGAAGCGATTAACGATTTTGGTACTCCCCACTGTCTAAACTAAATCAACCAATCACAGTACACGACGAAAACATGAAGCCAAATCATTCGTGGCACTTACCGAGTTGGGGGAAATCGCAGGACCACGCTCGTCCCCTGTGTTGATAGTCGTTCTTTTGAGATGTGAGGCAGCCCTGTTCCTTTTTTTTCTAAGTTTGGCCATTTTTCCAGTTTGTTCATAGTGCGGTTCCGCTACTAAGATGGCTTTCATCCAAAATCGATCACACTGCATCAACAAACTTTCCTTTGATTGGCTTTCGCCAAGGCCGCTTCTCATTTTCGTTCCACGAACAACAATACGCGCGCACGCGTACGCAAAACAAAGGCCGAGAATTAATGCGAGGAGTCCAGTAAAGGCAAGAAGACCAGTCGAGACCCACGAGAGGTTGTGGAGGAGGCGAGGACTAATCACGTCTGTCCAATCGCCAAAGAGGAAGTGGTCTGAAGGGTGTGCTGAGGAATCTGGTTGCAGGATGGGGAATTCCTCGGTTGAATGGCACACGGCTTCCATCACCGTAGAGTTTGTACCACGCTCCATGTGTATGGCACTCCCGGCAGGGCAAGTCTCCACACAAATCCACTGCGAAATGACAAAAGCAAATGGTTGAAGCTATCATAGTTGAAACTTAGATGCAAGTCGAGTCCTTGCGAGTGACGATGGCTCCTCCATGGACATGCCGAAATGCGACCTGCAATTTTTATATTCATTCTGCAACCCCCTGCACTTAAAGCCGTTGTAAGAGAACCCCAAGTGCACAAAGGCTCTGCCTGCATTAGCTGCGAATTATGCACACCGACCGTAAAAACTACTTACAGAATGAGCACTGGTGGGTAGTGTTCCATGGGTGTAGTATTAAAACAGTATAAAAATAAAGCCTGACGTTCTACTACTGCGACAGATATTTAAACATTGCAAATTCAGTCACATCGCATTTGTCTTCGGTGAACTGCGACAACTTCGTCAGGTTTTGCAACTATGTGGCGCAATACGCACAAGATCGCATACCTGTGTTCTATTTTTGTGCGGATAGAGTTTGTAGTGTCGGCAGGCGAAGCAGTCTGCGTTAGACGGTCCCCGACAGCCTTGACTGCACTCGACGTGACATGGGAGGCAAATCACCTCATCGTTTCTCAAGGAAACCTTGTACGTGTCTGTTGCAAACAGAAGGCGTCGATTTCAACATTTAAAACAGAATGATGAATGTGTGCGTTAATTCTAACGTCAGAAACTACTTTGAATATGGCATTGTACTCCGACAAAAACAGTAAAAAGACAGAGGACTGGAGACTAAGCGAGCGGCTGTATTACAACAAGCAATGCCGAAGCTAAAGTGGCAGTTCACTCCACAAATTGGCAGGTGGTTGAAAAGTGGATGGGTAACATCTCAAACATAGCATTAAGCAGCATGACCGACCGGACTTGCATTTATTATGATTTGCAATGGACACAGTCATGAGAAACTAATCGTTAGTGTATGTGAATTCCCATCACTACCTGTTTTATGTAATTGTTAGAAGTGTGTAACAAATGCTTTCTACATGTAGGATCATTCGACGCAAGAAGAGTAAAAAGTTGTGGGATAAAGTGGCAATTTGAATTAAAGAGTAAGAGCTGCCTTTTTGCAGGAATATCAATGACTAACGTCGTTGAACCACTAATGAAAGTAGTAGGAAAGTGATGTGAATTGACTAGAACTTCTATTAATTGATTTAAGAATGGAACCAGGGAGCATCGCTGCTAAAGAGAAGTCATTTTGATGTCATCAAACATAGGTGATTTAAATGCCAAATCATGGAATGGACGGTGCCTTAATGGTGGCAGCTTTTGAGATTCGGATTTCCTCCACAGAGCTGGCAAATATTTGTCATGAGCAACGTCATCGAAGTCGTAACCTATTGACACTTGTAGATTTGAACGCAAACAACTCCAGGTACAAAACTGGTGGCGTCAAGTAAGTTAAACTTTCAGCTAAATGGGTTTATTTTTAGCACTTTCCATAAAAACCCAAGAGGAGAGTTCCCCTTAAAGGTATTCAAAAACTACGTTCAAATAAATTAATGTCACCTTTAAAATCACTTGAATTTATCTTCAGTGAATGAAAATGTAATTTAAGAGCTCAAAAATAATTTTGGATTTTTGTAACAGGTTGAAGAAGGTCATCCGTCTCAAACCTTACTTCTCTATGACAATAACACCCGAGATCAGTTAGGGGCAAAGACGCTGGTTACCTTCTCGGCATTCGGCCACACACCGTCCCTGGAACTTGGCCCTGCGGCACCGCACGCACTGATTGGGCGAAGGGCCGGAGCAGCCGTCGCGACACTCGGCGTGGCAGGGCGCGCAGACACGCGCCGTGACCGCGCCACCGCCGCCGCGCTGGTGCGACGCCAGCCACTCCGCCAAGCGCGTCTTCACCGCCGCCGGCAGCGACACCAGCGAGCTGTCTGACGCGATTCTCGTCTGCGCGCTGCCCTGACCATTCCTTGGCACACCGATGAGGTACAAGAATGTGCCACTGGGACAGGCCTTAGAAGGCATTTACTCTTGAAGTAGTGTTTAAAAGCTGCATAACGAGCGAAACCTACTACGGTACCAGAAAAAGCAGATCCAACTTGGTTGCATATATACTGGCTTTGATCAATTCGTCTTCCCACATTGTCCGATGTTTAGTTTTGCAACCAACAAACCTTCTAGTGGCTCATCAGCGGATGCTTAACAACAAAACTTGTCTTAATTGCTTTATCTTAAGATGAGGCTGCTCATTGATAAAGAAACGATTGTGTCCATCTTAGCGCGTCTCTGTGTTATGACACTAAAGCTGATAGAAATGAACGAGGCTGTTCATTTTGTGCAACATTTCGTACAAACTTGCTTAACCTAACATGTCTCGCCAAATTTCTTAAACAAGCTACTGTCATAATGACTTTCATTTACCTGGTAGGCAGTGAGGCATGGCAGCCCTGATGAATTTTCGGACTCCACTGTCGCGGTGGCAATAACTTGAAGGCAGTGCGAGCAGCCTCCCTGACCGAACCAGTCGCCGGGACCTGTGCACACTTCACTTCCGTTCGTCGGCTCCACATCACTGACAGAGGTTTGTGCATACGAAGAACAGGCAGTCGCACACTCCTGACACGTGTTATTTTTGTCCGGGTACTTTGTTATGGGACATTGGGGTCGGCAGAAGTCTCCGTCCTAAACGAGGGAAAGAGAGCTGCCTGTCAATCACGTTTCATCCGTTATAATTATCCCGAGGGGGGAGTTACAGCTTTCCCTCCACAGACGCTTTGGGACCTAAACTGCAATTAGAAGTTTGGCTGATCTGTGTGCATTAAAAATGAATGACCTGACGCATTTTGCTAAAAAACACCTAAGGCTTGTTGCAAACTGACTCATCGATAATGCAGGATTCAAGCTCCCAGAGTGAAGCTATATTTCTCATTGTGTGAATTCACAAGAAACGCCTGATACAACAAACATCATTTTCAAAAAAGACTTAGATTTTAATAGAGTTGCCTTCTCTAGGAAGAATTTAAGTTCGGACCTTCACATGAGCACAGCCGTGGTTGCATTGGTCAGCGCCAGGACCGTAGCACGCCCCTGCCGCCGATCCGCATTCTGTATGGCACCTGGCGCATAGCCGTCTCTCCGTGGTTGTGTTGGCACCGGTGATCTTGGTCACCACAACTGGATAGTAGCCGCCGTCAATTAGCGAACAATTTCGCACGCATCGGTTGGGTTCACCGCGGTCCTGGATGTACCAGTGGGCGCAAGTGAAGCAGTTTTCCGGGCCAGGACCCCAGCAGCCGTCGGCAAGTGCGCAGACGCTGGCGTCGCATTGTTGGCCCTCAGCGACTTAATAAATGACCAAATACGTCTGCTGCAAAGTATGCATGGAAGGACTCTTTCCACTAAGGTTAGGGAAAATATCTTAAAATAAAAGAAAAGTCCTAGCAGAAAGAGAACCTAGGGATACTTCAAGAGTCCTCCATTCCTTCACTCGGTCGTGGGTTTGCTCTGATGTCCAAAATAAATTTGCCATCAACGGAAACGGCATTAATAGAGATCCGAGCCTCATCATTCAAAGTTTTAAAACAAATTTCAGTGTTTAAAAAGTTAATCTAGTTTTTGAACAGACAGTGATCAGTTCAATGCGTACATCTCTTGAAAACGTGTGCTTCTTGCTAAGTGTTAAATAGGTAGGCACACTATTTGCTTAATTCAAGCAACAACACGGAATGTTTTTCTGCAGTTTGCTTCCACTCTCTAAATTTCAAATTAAACAGAATGGCTTATGGCGCGATGTGTGTTGATACTGCTTAGGCATGGTCCGTCTCCGGTTTCCTCGAGGTACAAGTAAGGGGAGTGATTTTCGGCTTTGTAATGAAACGCAAATATGTACTTTTCAGTGTACATCCTTGCCTGAACCAATAGGAAGTATTAAAGACTACGGTCAATACGACCGCGATTGGTGTTGAATGAAACAGTGGCTTTAGCAGATAACTGTCTCATTATCACGGATCTTGGTTTCTTTACAACTATGTTTAAAATCGGGTCAACAAATGAGCAAGATGTACTTGATCCCATGCAACCGATTGGAATTTAGACTGTTTGAGGTGTGGTTAAATGATTAAATTATGTTGGCTCCAGTTCTCTGAGCCCTAGTAGACACCGGTTTGCTTCATTACTTAAAACCATCTTGCAATTCTTGTTTAGATGGCTCAAAGAGTTGCAGATGAAAGCATTTCTTACCACAATCGACTGTCGGTCGATTTGGGAAGGTAACGGGGAAGGCGACCTGGCGCTGGCGCCTGACCATTCGCGTGCGCAGGGCTGCCGGCGACCACATGAGCTGCTGCCAATTGATGGTGTCGACGAAACACAGCTTGGGGTTGTAGGCGATGTGAATACCACCTTTGCGGACCCCAACAAACGTCAGAGAAGAGAGACCCAGATATTCAAGGTGTCTGTTGTGGATTATGCTCAAAGGCGATTCATAACCTCTCTGCGTCTCTGAAAGGGCAGGTTTGCGCCACCATTGACAAAAGAAGGCAAGCAGGCTAAGAAACTAAATTATCAACTTGCTTTCCTCGTATTTCTGAAGAAACTTATTAAGGATTCATTTCAGTCTGCGGTTGATTCAATGCAACTTTAATGACGCGTGAGATTATCCCTTTTCAATTGGGGATCACTGTATCATGTGGAATATAACATTATTTGCTTTGCTCGATTCATGACTTTTCAAATGCATTCTTAGAGGTGAACTAAATTGTGCCGATAACGCTAAAGGAAGTTGTTTGAAAGCGCGCAAAAAGCAAGGCGTGGATTCATGCACAGGAGCATTTTTATGACAAACATCATTCAGGCACAATTTCAATTGTTTTGTAAACCTATCAAGTAAGTAGTAGGCGATTAAAAAGCAAAACTGAGGCCATGGTGTCCAGATCAATAAATGAGGACTTTACACACCTCCACCAATCCGACGCAACTTCGACAGGAAGGTGAGGTTCCTCAGCCAATGGGCCCAGTTGTCGGTTCCAATGTAAAGGCCGCCAGTTATCTCCACGAGGTTGCCAAGACCCCTCTTCAAGTCCGCAAAGTTCACAGATTCCTTCTCCTTCGTCAAATTATTAAATGCATCACTAAAATGAGGGGATTTATCAAAAACAACGGCCCTGCATTATCTTCAGGCGCATTTCGTTCGCTAATCGAAAGAAGTTATTACTAACTATGGCTTACTCTCACGTACGCCCTGCCTCTTGTGTTTACTACTATGCAGTACTCTAAAGTATGAAATTGCGTTTGGGTCTATGCGAGCTCAACAATGTGGTGGAGGTTCATGCTGACCGTTTCCGGAGACCTTAAAACATGTCATTGTTTTTCTAAGCTTTGTGTACAGCTGGTCTAAATTACGACAAATGAACATGACGGGTTTAGTCGCAGGAAAGGAGGCTTGAATTCCTTGTTAAGTACGTTTCAGGGACGTCCAGGCGGAATACACGAGATGCCAAAGCAATTCTCTACGAACAATATATCTCAGTTATTTGCTTGAGGTAAATGATTATGCCGCCTTTGCACCGAAAGCACTAAAGATTCTCCTAATGACTTATTAAATATAATGTAGATTACTGCCTAACATTAAGGAATTCTGGCGCCACAGGTGCAACCAAATGATCCCTTACACAATGTTAACTAACTCTGCACACATTAACTACACCGTCGAGAGGAATTTTTCTCGAAGCTTGCAGATTTTGTAAAAATCTTTCTACAGGTTTTTTAAATTGTGGCAAAAACGCGTAATGAATTATCCACGCTTCAGTCGAAGTTTGATTTGTAGATTTCCTCATGGACATTAAAAGAATTTGACAAGAACTTTTAATGTGTTAAATTTGTGTCAGAGATGAAAAATCATTTAAAAAAATAACAAAGATTTTTAGCACGAGAAAAAAAACACTATCGCTCACCCCTCGAACGACTGCCGTTTTAGGATCAAGCTTCCCTCCCACGAGGTACAGTTTTCCATCTTGTGCAGAAGACTTTTGTAGAGAAAATCGATCGTCGGTGCCTGGAGCTGCTTTGCGGAGCACACTGGAAAGTAGAAGCCCCAGCCGTCAACCTGATTAGATGTTCCGATCCTTCACGAGATTTTTAGGCTGTGCAAGCCACTTAGTTAATGCTGCTTAATTACTTAGTTCAAAAACTGTGGCTTTCCAAGTATCATGACAATTTTGTGCCTAATCAATGTCTGACGCTTTGAAAATATCTCCTGTAGAAAAGCCATTTCTGCTACAAGATATTGATAAAGTCTTGAAACAGTAGAAGATTTACACCCAAGAGTATTGGAGGCAGTTTAAAACTTTGTTAATTATTATTGCTGAGAAATGTCTTTCATAGACACTAATCAAACCATCCTTTTATTACCAGAAAAGCCAACTGATGTATAAGGTTTTGGTATTCGTGAAATAGCAGGAGATTTACACCCAGGATTATTGTAACAACAAATTAGGGAACGGAGTAATTTTGGTGCTCTTGAAGCTAGAATACTGATTGTTTTACTTGTGCTAGTTGTGTAAAAACCAAACTCGAGGCATTATTCCAAAGGCGATGGTACCTTTGGTGTAGACTAGACAGAACCATACTGTCCCGCGTAAGTGCCTGTCATGGTCTTAAAACCGCTCATTGGGCCCTCTGTTCTCTCATATTTTAATTTTCAATTTAGGCACACAAGCAGTAGAGTAAAAGGCTATGCAGTTTTGGGCATAGCGTGAGCTCCTAGGACACCATACACCTGAAACACCGGCTAAAATAACGCTCACATTGCATTCTAAAGTTCAAGTAAATCTTGGTCGTTGTGAGTATGCTTAGCTCTTGTTTTTTTTCCAAGACGTACCTTTTGGGCAGCCAGTTTTTGGACACTGCACGCAAACTTTGCCGGCCTTCTGGGTTCCGGGACGCGAGCACTTAAGCACGCAGTGGTCACGGTCTCGAAGGAACCCATCTAGCGAGAGAGAAGTGAAGTCAAGAATTAAATGCTCGCACAAGTCAAAAGCCCAAGCGGATAGGCTACCTGGACACGATGCAACGCAGACATGCCCCAAGGAAACCTTGCCATTTGGATTGGGTTCCCAGGAAGAAGTGTGGATGTTGTAATAGCGCGTAGGTAGACAGGCGGCCACACAATTGCCGTCCTGTGAGTACCGCCTGCAGGCCTTGAAAGGGGCAAAATATGCTCGAATTGTGCTCATGTCAGATTATTCGCTCCAACCAAGGTAAAAATCATACTAGTACTAACTTCCGAAAAGAAAGGTCCCGATTCTATAGATAAGTCAACGCTTTTGCATTTATACACATGACACCGCTTGTTTCCGCGTGACTCCGTGCAAGGTCCACGTATTCTCTTACCATGTGTCTCGAAATTCACCCTCCTGACCCAAATAATTTCATGCACATGCCTTATTTACACAATCCAATCATGAGGATAAAAGGTAAGGCCTACCTCAATACAATACAATAATCCCTTGTTTACTCAAAAAATAAAATAAAGGGATAAATCCAGTCACGCTAATAGAACTAAAAATGGATTTAGAAGCTAACAATAGTCTGTAAGCCACTAAACTCCCTCGTGATTAATGAAAGGCTCCAGAAAATCACAAATTTCGAACTGAGTTAAAAAAAGCATAAATTAAGGCGTGTATTTGGCGGATTTGGGTTGATAGCGATTCGACCGCAAGAGGAACAAGGCAGTACCATGCATTCACTGGCTCGAGTGCCACTGCAACCTCCGGCGCATTCTTCATGACAGCACTCCTCAATCTCTCCTTCGGTGACGCACCTGTTAGGTCCCCTACAGACGCGTGTTTGGCACTTTCTTACTAAAGGATACAAATTGGAATGTTGACAATGTACCATCTCTTGAGTTTTATTGATTTTTTCCAACCAAATAGCACCTACGTGTCTGACATTGATTTGCTGAGGGACCCCAACAAAACGACTTTCCGTTGTGTACGGGGCAGGCATCATCGCATTTCCAATTTAACCGCGTCTCAACTTGGACGGAGTTTTTGGTCGAAGCAAGCGCAATATCTTCCTTTATAAATTCCACCAAATGTCTTAAAGCTCCGGTTGTATTTGAGCCCTCCTTGATCATGCTGGCAGCAGTGTCGTTCGATGGCTGCACATCCGTTTTCAGCTGTTTGGTTTCAGCTAACAAAAGAAATATTAATCATTGTCACCAATCAAGCGTCATCAACGTGGGCATGGAATAAAAGCACAAACATTTAGGGTTGATTATGGAATATTTAAAAGTCCTTGCACATGAGCCGATGGGCTGCTAAGCCTTCGTGTGCTGGCACCCGGAACAATGCAATGGAGACGGGGATTTATTAAAATGCCAAGCAAGTGTATGTGTGAGGCCTTCTTTCAAATGTACTTGTGGGGGGCAGCAAGCGCGAGCGAACACGATTCAATCGATTTTCGTGAATGCGCTTCACGCAACTCCATTAGTTCGGAGATCGATATTTAGCGAAGCTGTATAAAAGAGCTCGTTACTCTGTACACAAACCAACGCTACCGCATCAATAAATTAGTTGAGCTACGCGCCATCCGTTTCTTGATCTCTTATTTCGGCTGGGCCGTGTCAACTTAGATTGTCGGCCCTGGTGCTGTTCCCCACAAACCGCACCGAGACCCGCTACGTAATAAATTAAACTTGGGATCGGGACCCTACTAACCCCATTAAAATATGGGCCAAACTAGAGGAGGATTGCTTTAAACTGAATTCAATAGGACTCTGAAGTTTCCGACATTCGAACTCCGATGATGCTGGGACAAGATAGCATAAACTGGCGGTTGTGGTGTAACCTTAAATTTTCTGCCCCCTAATGCTCTCAGTCGCACTATTTCGCATTTAAGTCAACAATCCGAATCTACTCGTTTCCAAGTTTAAAGAAAATCACAATACCTGGTTCGTTAACGGTGGCCTTTTCCATGAAATTTGGCGTCCCGTTTGAGGAACTAACGATGCCAGTATTTTCGCTGACAGCGCTCCCATTGATGCTCATATTACGACGTTCTTCGTTATCAATCGTTAAATCGATTGAATTTTTGTCTACCCCACTGGCCCTGCTTGGTGTTTCTCCGTTCTGCTCCACTTCTGAGTCCAAGTTTTGATGCATCCCAGCAATCGTGATTCCGGTAGAAGTTGTCGGGCCACTTGTTGATGTATCTATCCACGTCGATAAGAGTATCGGCTCCGTAACCTCTCCCACACTGGTAACTTGGCGGATTTCCTGTTGACTACTAACATTTTGATCTTGAAAGAAAAATGTCCCAATAATTGCAAAATGTTATAACGTATTAATGCAGTGACTAGAAAATTTCCGTCAGGTGTTGCTAAAGTAGAATTTTGAGTTGCCCAGGCAGAGTTAAGAACAAAACAATTCTAAATAAGTACCGGTAAGGATGTTTCATCAGTGCTATTTTGTCATTGTATGTAGATTTTGTCCTTTTTTAGACAAAAGCGGCCTAAGTCTTTGCGTCTTAGTCTCAAAACCAGTCTAGTTTGGTTGAATCACGAGATTATGCACAGACACTTGCGTAGGATTTGCTATTGGTTATTTTGGTGGTGCAGGACCATTTGCTCGTCTTTATTATTCTTAAACAGTTTACAAACTCTACTAATTGATTAGAAGTGGGCTCTTCCAAAATTATTGGGTTATTGACATCCACACTCTGACTTGCAGACTAATCGAGAGGCATGTTTTTCTTGACTGCTTACAATAGCAATGCTGCGTCCGACATTGTCGGACTCCTCATAGTTCTACGGCATTACAAGTTGCAAATTAGCAGGGCTGCAATGTAGCACGACAATGAATTTGCTAATCCTTCCGAGGCCAAATTCACGTCAAGACCAAACTAGATTTCATGTGTATTGCTAAAACGACAGCGACATTTCTCCAGTTGTCATGTACTTGGCCTAAATCAAGACGGTTACTTTCATGACGATGGTGCAGGATAATCCACAATACCTATGCAAATATTCACTGAATTGTATGTCAAATGTCACCCCCTTCGTCGGTGTTTCACTGCTCTTGCGGAGGGAATATTCTGAATTTATACACCCAAGAGGAGTGATATCACTTCAGCTTGTTTATTTTCTATTCAGCCGTATTAGTTATTGATTTTATCCCTGAATTGCGTTTCGAGCTGCTGTGATGGGCTTAAGTATGCAATCACGGAGTCATCTAATTGGTTCAAACCGCGGACAGTTCACCTACTACTCGCCACAAGTTGGTTATCTTAAATTTGGGCCTGAAGCAAAAATGCCCCTTTATTTGGCTCAGTAGCCGATGTTCCGAGACAAATTATCAGTGCAGATTTCCTTTTTTGGTTTGATCTCACAGTTGACGTTGGACAGCGTAAGCTAATTGACAAAATGCTTCCAAACCTCTTCTAGGGGTTCCTATTTCAATGAATTTGAATACAACTCCACTTAGGATTTCCCGCTTCAAATGGGCATGAACTGTTCTTGAAAAAGCTTGCCAAACTCTTCAAAATGATCCGAAACCCAGCAAAACTTTTCCTTATATCATGAGCCATGTTGTGACGAATGGTTCGTCAATAGTTGTACCTAATTAACCGGGAGCATCCAGAGCACAATTCAAGCACGTGTGTCGCTTTGGCCTAATTCGGCCCTCAATCAGTTTTTAGACATCATCTTAGAAATATTAAGACTGTAGGCTCCTATACAGTTATACAGTTGCCAGCAATGCGCAGACCCTGATTTCTATTCTCTTGTTTACATTTTGAAATTTCCTTTTGGCGAGACGCGACCAGATGCCCGTAGCACCATCTGGTCAGGCTTCTCTCTGAGAGTTGAGTTCTTTTGACAAAATTTTACAATTTAGAACGATATTTTCTATAAACTTAACCAATTATCCACTTAACCTTCGTCAGTTGTAGACAATAGTTTCGAGGAGTTAGCAACAGGGCACATTAATGACTTTCCCATTTTTCTACACAAGCTCGTGTGACATGTCAATAGGGAGACCCCGTTTTTTAGTTCCTTCTCAATTTAGCTGAATATTGATTTCGTATATACAACAGTTCATTGGTTAAACGCTGTTTGTAATGCCAGCACAGTCGAGTACATTGACACACCTATCGTCCCGAGTGCACTCTTCATTCCCAAACACTATCTGGACCCCATTGCCATCCTCTGGAAACACTTACGTAGGTGCCACAGAAAACGATTCAAAATTCTGGTTGCCTTATTCTTATCATTATCATCACGGGCAAGTTGGTGCAAAATGTTAAACCAAATGCACAAACGATTTTGTGTAGTAACGAGGATGAATTCTGGAATAAAGGCTTTATTATTTCACTTTTGTTGTGTACCAAATAGACTGATTCCCTAGATGTTCCGTCACATTCGCAACCAGCTAATTTCTTATTGTTACTTCACACCTTCGTAGTCACCACATTTGAAGAATCACCGGGGCGTGCGTATCGAACCGTGTATTACCACGCTTTCATTGCTTCAGTCATCGCATAACGAAGAGGTGCAATGACGAAATTTCACTTTCCCTATCGGGATAGGGGTGAAGCACAGAAGCATCAGTTCATTCACCTTCGACATCCTCTCAACCGAATTAGCTGCTAGATATTTGGCATTCTTGATTTATTTGCACTACCATGTTGATGAAAGTAGCTATAAAATGATAAATTGACAAACTCTAGTGAATTGAGTGGCTAGTCATAACAGCATATTGTGAAGGTGCAACATCTTGTTTCCTTGTTGCAGGCAAACATTTGAGTCCATATTTGCAGAACTACGCCTTTTAAACAAGAGATGAGAGACAGTGACAATTTAGCGATGGGGAACAAGAACAAAATTTGACTGATCTACTTCTTTGATAATATGCGATAGAGTAAGGCTGATCGTCGGTGTTATAGAAAAAACACATTTTAGTGCATAAACTCACATGGAAGAGCGTCGTTCTCAGTCTGGAGTCCATTATTATCAACCTGGTGACCACTCGGTGTGGTAAAATAAGGAGCACTTGTCAGGGTCGTCCCTGAGGCCGCATTAAATCGACTTTCACAAGCTGCACTCCAGTCCGCGGTGGCGGAAGGGTCGCTGGTGGGCACCAGCACCACGGGCTGCAATTCAGGATACTCGAGAATGTCGTCCCAGTTCACCGAAAATGGCGCGTAGCAGAGTCCGGGATTGTCAAAGAAGCCAACGCCGTGCGTTAAAATGGCTAGGGTTGAATGTAAGCTTGCATTACTTGGGTAGCTGATTTTAAATGCTCTGAGACCTACCAATGTTGCACTTACGGATTAGCGCTAGCAAAAAACATGCTCATTTGAACAGATACCGGCTAGGCATATGTAAATATGACTGTACAAACAATTTTTTCCTAGTAGGTATCAGGCTTGCGGAATGACAGTTAAGAATGCGATATTTGAATGTGTGTAGACACGTTAATTTGACTTGTTACTCTTTACGGATTATCGCCACAGTGGTTTCAATTTTCTGGCTGCTTGAATCAAGAAATGATCCAGCTGTGATTGCGACAAAAAGCAAGTGGACTGGTTGCAAGACTTTTCTTTCAAACCGGTTTGAGTGCTACGGCTGTTGGGCTTCACCTGATTTTAGTAAACGTTTTCATTTAAGAACAAGCGCAGGTATATTTGGATTGCCTTTGCCGCCGACGACACCTTGACCCATCCAAAGCCGCCGTCGCTACTTTTAAAATCCTTTATCAGAAGGACGTTGCAACTAAGCGCCGCTAACGCTTTTAACTGAAGTCACAACTTGCCAACGTTAGGAATGGCCTTTGGCCCGGAAAATTTCAGGCTTTTGTCGGAATCAGGTGTGGGGGGAACGGACCCCACCAGAGTTCAAATGTGCACTATACATTGAAAGTAATTTAAGCGCTAATGCAAAGGAGTAATCAAGCATTAAAGATAGTCTTTAACATGAATTCAACCAAATTTTATTATGCTTTTCCCAGAAAAACACGGGAAAAGGATGTCTTTGCAGTTCATGAACTAACCACAAGTTCTTAAAATGCCATAGGTATCATAAAACAGCTGATGATGCAGTCAATTTTCGCAGTTTGACTCACAATAAATTGTTAACTGCCGTTTTTAGCTTCTATTGCAATACGCAATGGGCAGTTCATGATTTGCGATGAATGTGCGAAGTCTTTTTATAGTGTACGGCAGTAATGACTAAAAAACGTTTAACTGTTTTACATTTATTGAATGAACGTAAACTATGGGGGGTTATAATGTACCCGTCACCGTTTACAAGATAACTCACCTTCAAGAGAAGGAAATGCAATTTCTATTAAGAATTTGTCTTTCGATGAATAGGTTTCCGTGACAAGCAGGGAAAAGTTCTGGCCTCTTATCTGAACTGCTTCCTCTCCTCGAATAAGACGTAGGTTAGGCAAACTGAAATGCGTTTTCGTTACACGGTGGATAAACACATAACCAGAGACCTCTTCTATTGTGTTGAGAAAATCAACATCATGGTCTAAAGAATGGAATAAATATACACAATAAGTAGATGAGCCTTGTGAAGCTGGATATTCAACGAAATTAAACGAACGAGTAGAGATAGTAAAGGGTAGTAATTCTGTGGAGAAATGCTTAAACATCAACCAGAAAACTCCACACATTCAAAAGAAGCTGGAAAGGGAGCGCTTTAGAAGAAAATAAGGAAATTATTTCTGAAACTGAAACGAAGACAATTTCAGTGTGGCAGGGCAGCGTCAAATTAAAAATGTCTCACGCTGAGAAATAAATCCAGATACATGCATTTATGCTGAACCTACTGCGGCAGAGTCAACGATCACGTACGGTGGGTGAATGTGAATAGAGACGCAGAAAGTAATAAGCAATTGCCAAGCAGGCCAGAAGACATAAAGGTCATTCAGTGACTGTGATGGTGCATCTAGTTGCTAGGCCAACGTACCAGGACCGATTTCAGATATGAACAGATTCCCGAGGATGTGGCTACAGTTCCGAGTGAATTTAGTTTTCAGTTTTTTGTAGTTGTCGAATATTGCGTCCTGCCAGGATGCGAAGCCACTACAAACTAAATAAAATAGGCGAAAACTGATAAAAAACTTTGAAATTATTATCCATGTTTTGGTGTAGGAGGTGCCGTGAGATTCTACATTTATCTGTCTGGGGTATTTCAAAGTGTCCTCACGCAGAGTAAATACGAGTATGGTGGTAGTGGCATTGCAGAAGTTGGATTAGTATTCTTAGAAATCGACAACCAGGGAACAATGATGCATTTAATTGCCAAACGTGATACTTGTCCTTGGGTTGACATTCCACGCTACAGAAAATTGCCGAGCCGTATAATAGGGAAAGACCAAATTTAAACTTGTGCTAAGCAAATGAGCTCACTTCGTTTTCCCTGGTATTTGGGGTCGCGGAAGTAGGGCGTAAAGGGGTTGACCAATTCATGCGCAATGAGCTCCTGCTCTTCGATGGTGGGATGGTCACCCAGCGAGAGGCTAAGGTGGAGGAAGGTGAGGAGAAGAGGTAAGACGTTGAGGTCGCCCATCGAAAGGGAAGTAGTGATTTTGTGGGAGGAGTGCACACCAGGTGGCTTGTTGCGGTACCTTCGGCCGGTGTATTATTGGTGAGAGTGGATATGCTAATTTCGCGCTCACACGCACACGCACACACACGCACGAGGTGCACACCCAATGCTGTGGTGCGTGTAATCGTGTGTCACGTGCGTGTTTTGAGGTCTGGGGCGCCTAATGAATGCATTCAAGCGGGACCGTGGTGTGCGGTCGAGTCATTCAAACGCGATGCCCTTCATCCTGGATAGGAAAGATGGCCAACCACGTTGTCGTTAAGGTGAAATTGCAGGGATTGAGCTAACTGTACAGCAGACCAAATGGGGAAGCAAATCCACAAAATGCATTTTGTGGGTTGAAGTTAAGAGTAGTTGGGGTGGAGTCCAGGTGTCTGATTGACTGCTCCCATGTGGGCATCGTTAATAATTACGCCTAATGGGTACACGTGCATGTTTTGCGGCAACAAAAGAATATTGTGAATGAATTTAATGACAGCTAAACACAGTTAATGCAGTTGCACGCCAAGTGATCATACTACAAACGTTTGGCAATTGCTGGCATTTTGAATTTTCATACTCCAGTACTCGCTCATTAGTTTAAGAGCTGAAAACATGTGCAAAAACAGTGGTTTGTATGCTAAACTTACAACATGCTCTACAACATGCTCTACAACATGCTCTACAACATGCTCTACAACATGCTCTACAACATGCTCTACAACAT